TAATTTTTTCTCGGAAATGGTTGAGTTTAGGACCCATGTCATGTGTTTTTGTTTATTTTAATGTATTCTGTCCTCTGTTAAAATTAAGGCAGTGAAACTTCTAACACCCTGTAATTAATTCGACGATGATATTCTCTGTACAAGTTCTCCAACATGCACTTTGTTTACTATTTGTGAATACGATATTTTTTCTGTATTTATTTTGTTGCATTTTTTAGCTGATCTTGTTTTTTTTTCATAAAAACAATTTTCAAAAATATTTTTCTGAATAATTTGGAAGGTTGAAATGATTTTCTTATAACCTATTGTCTTGCGTTAGCCAATAATCTTATATGCAGTCTCTTAGTTCTTTCGAAATCAAATCCTATCCTATGTATGCATCTATTTTCTGAAGCTTTATTGAATCGCTCTGTAGCTTAGTTTTCTTTCCTTCGGTCTCTTGTCAAATTTATTCCTTGTTCTCCTCTTCTTATTTCATGTTTATATTTCTGACATTTTGCCGTTTAATTTCGCTGTCACTGATATTCTGGGATGATAATTTTCCCAAGGTAGGCTATTATTAAAATTTTCACACTTTACTATTTCCTGCGATGTTACTTGTTACGTAAATCTAACTTGTGAAATTATAACTTTGACATCTGTTTTTCTTTTCAGTTTATTTCGTTTTATATCTATTTCAAGCATGTTTTCGTTGTTTGTATTTGTTGCTTGTTAAAGACTGATATTCACGCTTAAGCTTACTTTGAGTGAGTGACTATAGCCAAAGTGACCTTTTTTATATAAACTTTACCGAAATTGATGAACGTTAGAAATTGTTCTAGAATGTCCTATAGAATGAAAACTTTTTATAGAAATTTCTTCGACTGCCTTTAGATATATTATTAGTTGTTTTTCTACACTTCTAGAGTTTTCTGATGATACACGGATTTGTTGATTACTATCAAGTTTGTTGGATATCGCTTTTTTTCGCATCCTCACTTTCAGTTCATAATAAATCCAAAAACTAACTCGACTGTCCTTACATAAAGACTTTCCTGGCAACTACTTTGATATACTTATTCACAAACATTTTTCTAAATTCTTTTTTTTATAACAAATTTTGTTGTGTGTGTTTACACTTACATACTAAATTTGTTTTTCGAGTATTTCTTTATATTGACTACCAAAGTAATACAAATTAATTATTTACTATAATTACCCGCTGATGTACCAGCTTTATGTTTTTATACATGGTGTCAAAAGTTCAGTCAAATGGTCAAATTCTGCTGTTTAGACCATATTGCAATACCTAGATGCTTGTGTGTTCCGCAATAATGCCTGTTAGTCCAGGAAATATAGAGTTGGACGCGACTATTTGTTTCGGCAAACTGAATTTATCACTCTAGATGCTAAATATTATATACAATAACATATTAGTTTCCACAGTCATAAAAATGGGGGGAAGATTGTTTACAGGGTGGTTAATTGTATAATTTTTACATAAATTCACGTTTTTCGCTTCATTTCCACGAGAAGTTCGAGCATTAAAAAATATTGATTAGATCAAAAGTTATAAACAGAAGAAGTTTATTTATGACTTTTGAATTAAACATTTTTAAACTGCGTTATTTTTACCAGAACGTTTTGGCATCGCATCCTCTCATTCCTTATCACTGTCTAATAACTCATACGAAATCTGGAATCGGTAAGTTGAATAGTTTACAAGTTATGGCCTTACAAACAAATTAACTAATTATTAGCCTGGACGATCCCGAGGATCTTCGACAATCGCACTGATTTTTTTCATGGTAGATTTCATAATAATATATTGAAATCTATCATTTTTTTTTATTTCAAATTTGCAACCTGGAAATTTTTTTATTTTTTAGCCTTAGTTGCAAAATGAAATATACGACGCACGAGCGTGATATACATATATTATTCCCATATTAATACATATTCGGAAAGCTTATGAAAATTACTTTAAGTTAAAAAAAAATCGTCAAGATTCGTTGAAAAACAACGGAGTTACACACTGCCAAATATATTATTTTCAAGAGAATTTCCCTTCTTTAACGGCAGGACTATGAATATTATCGTCATTTTCTTCGGAATCGCTGTCGTTCGCTACCCCACCCTTCAGCCGCGTCACGGCTCGCCGAAAATCAAGCGACCCACTGACTTTTGCCAATATTTCTTATACACTTAACATACTTCCACAATTAAAATATTTTTACCTGGGAAAGTACTCGGGTTAGAAATGATCATTTCCCAGCTTATTTTCTTGGCCTAATGTGCTAAAAATTGGTTCACCTGGGCAAGTATCTCAAAATAATACCCTCTTTATACAAATTACAAATAGATTTTTATTTTCTAACGTCTTTCAAATTTACTTACTGGAATTTTCTGGAAACAAGTTTCTTCATGTATTATTATAAATTTGCAACTGGTATGTTGATTTTTGAATTTGGTTTCTAGTTTTCTTTTTCCATTTCCTGAAATGATTTGTCGCAATGTGTCCCTTTCCGTCTCTAACTTCGCACTCAATTATAACTTAACTTTAACATTACTTTTATAATGCGTCTTATCGTCTGTATTTTCCAATATATTAGCTAGGTACACAGGCTACTCCGAATAAACACGTATCAATAGTTTATTTTTTCAAATTCCGTGGTAAAACTTATTTTCTTCTAACCTCTCTTTAGTAATTTTCATTCCCCGCCGCTGGACGAGCGGATCACGTAGCGGATTAAAAAAAAATAATACTTAAATCTTCTAAAATTTTCCATTTCTGCATTAAGTAAATGTTAAGTACTGGGTGAAACACTTCCTGACAACTTCAAACTGCCTTATGTTTCGATTGAAATATCCCATTAAAAGGGAGTAAAAACAAAATACTACTTCCGGCAAAAACGTATTGCGCCAATTAAGGACGAAGGAAGCCAAATGGCGAATTATATTGCCTTTCATTTGAAATTCGCAATTTGCTTCGACTAATGGGGGGCATTAGGGCAATCCGACTACATTATTGATTATACGACTACTGATAGGATAAGTGGAATTCAACTAAAAACTAGTTAGGGTTAGGTAAACATTTGCATTTTTAGGCATTTCCGCAATGAAACATATGTAGACGATAAGAAAATTATCCTCATAAATTTTGCATTACTATTACCATGCTTTTGTCCAAATCATGCAAAAACTTTTTTGCTATAGCTTTATCAATGAAATTAAAACAATAAAATAATCAAGCTATATGATTATTATAGATCGGAAATTTTAGGGCGGTTGCAATGTGGTACAGGGTTGGCTGTATGTTGGGTTCTCTATTACGCAATTTTATTCAAACAAAAAGTGACACAACACAACACAACATTATAAGAATATACCGGGTGATTCAATTTGGTATTCGCGGCCCTGTATCTCTTTTATTTTAACAAATAGCTATAACAAACCCTATATATTTTTAATTCTCCGCTCAAACTCTATCAAATGACATTATTAGATCGTCTCCATGGTAACATATATCAAATTGTTAAAATTTTATAGGCAACTGTTTCTGTTCAAATGGCACAATATATATTTTTTTATCAATTCTGAAAGATATTTTTTTCTGCGTACAACTATGTAAGGAAGTCTATAGTTTCATTAGAAATATTGGTAGAAAAACAGCAAAAAAGATGCACCCTACTTTTCGTAGCTTTATTCTGAAAAATAATAGCCAGCTGCGAAAATAAGTTACTATGTTTTTTTAGTAACGTATTTTAATTTTAATACGATAATAAGATAACAATTTAAAACAATACTTATTTCAAATGTTCAAAATGACCTCCATTTGCTTCCAAACACAGAATAGCTCTGTTTATCACTCCCTCTCTACAAATAGGCCAAGCAAATAAAATTTTTACTCGAAAAAAGTCCTATCCGCGAGATTATTGTAAAATTGTCTAAAGGAACATAATACAAGACATCTCTCATCTCGTGAGTCAAAAACTTTTATTAGCTAACTTTTCTATTTAAACAAATAAGTGAGGAAAACA